CCACTCCATATTCGAGCGGTCCAATCAGAACATTCATATTCTGGAGCCGTTTTTTTGTTGGATTCATTGGGTTCACAATGGATCCAAGTGGTTTCTGGCTTGGGAGTTTCCTTCCAAGTGGTTGCAGCCCCCATACCAGCAGGAGCTGATTCCCCAAGACTTGGCCAACACGGTAGTGACCCCAGTGAAAGGTGCGAGTTGTTTGGTATCTTGTTCACACTCAATGATCTTCACATATTGTGCGACTTGTCCCTATATCATCTAATCATTCTAATAAATATCATCATACATATTCATATATCATATCCATTTGCGGTATCTACATGCCCATCTATATTATATGATATCATAATATGTATGCATAACAATATCTTTTTGCATCAAGATATGATTTGATGATATAGAGTGCTGCCTAGATTCATCTGGATCTCCAAAAGACACACAACTCCGCAGTCGCCGGCCCAAGGCCTGGGCCTTCGCCACCTTGGGGCTGCCTGAGAGCAACTTGATGGACCAGATCTTGTTGGAGGCCGCAGCCACATCTTCGTTGATGTGTCGGGGTGAAGATGGCGTTGATACCTGGACTGGAGAATGATGTTACTGTTACTGTAGATGTCCCAAATATATCCAAGTATTAATTTTTTGAATAAAAAAATGCCGCAGTTTTGTTGTGACGTTTTAGATGATGGGATGGATGGAAATGATCGTATCCTGAAGGTGATTTCCAAAGTCAACGACTTCACCACGCAGAACCTGGCCAACACTGCCTGGGCTTATGCCAAGTCCGCCCCAGCACTGGGTATGGGTTGTTAATATTGGTTTGGCAGGTTTATGAGGTATGTTTTGCCACTAATGGAGGAATGCAATAGACTGATAAAGAAAACGACTGTGCAGAGCTAATCAAAGAATCTTAGCAGCTCCTAGGATCAGATATGGGAAAACCATGCTGAACAATTGGGGGTCGCCATGAGTGCAAAAGGCTGGGCCTTTGGAATGAGCGTTTGATGCAGACGCAGGGTGGCCCAGAGTCACCTACTTGGGAGATCTATTCTGGTGCAAGGCCGAGGATCATTGGACCACATTGGACCACGCGGTTTGTTGGATGCACACGATGAATGCTGAAACATGGTTCGGAGAGCCCGTGGCTGGCCAAACGTTGGTACAGTAATGGTTGCCCATTTCCCGCTGAAGGTTGGCGAATGCGATTCACCGGAAGGCTACAGGGATGATCGGCGTAGTGTTTGGCAAACTGTGGCTTCTTGCAGTGTGCCCACACACATGGATATTATATGTACACACATAATTATATATATGTACGTGTATATATATATATTATATATTTTATACACATATTATATATACACATATTATATATACATATGCATATACATGTTCTATGAGAGAGAAGAGGGATCATTTTGCAGACCTCGATTCCTGCAGCCTTGGCGCCAGATCTGGGACTTTGACAGTCAGGGCTTGGCGAATGTGGCTTGGTCCTTCGCAGTCTTGGGCTTCAAATGTTTGGAGCCCCGGAGGTGGCTGTTGCGAGGGGGTGGGAGCATGATCCCAATGATTCCCAATGTCCAAGACTGTCCAAGCTGGTTCATAAGAACCAAGCACATAGTGATTGCAGGATTTCAACATATTTCAACACCTTTGGGCAATGAAGCTATGTCCAGCACTTTGAAGGAAGGTTTGCCTGAAGTTTAAGGTGAGTTTATGCCCTCACCAATCTGAAGAATCGCCAGTGGTTCAGAGGCCCAAAGTTGTCAGATGCCATCCTGGCTGCAGCCAAAGTGAAGATCGAAGCAGACGACTTTGGAGCACAGGAGCTGGAAGAGCTGGGGGACTGAGACTGGATTAGTTAGTCTTTTCGCTAGCTGGGAGGGAGTTTTCATGTGCATCGATCATGATCAGATTCAACAAATTTCCATAGAATGGATCTCCAGGTCTGATCAGATAATAATAATAATAGTAAATAATAATTAACAGCAATAATTATGATGATAACAAAAAAATATATCAGATATACTGATTTGTTTCAACACAAAGTTTTTAATCATTCTCTCATAATTTTAGGATATTTTAGGTATCGTGTCACATCCATTGCCACAGGAGTTGGCGAACATCGCCTGGTCCTGGGATGTCCTGGGAGATGAGGAGCGCTTGAGACCGTTCCTGGAGGCTGGACTTCACAGAACTCCATGGATTTTCAGCATGAGGAATTGCAGTTATTGCCTGGTAAACAGAATGTTATTACATGTTATTATAGTTGCAAATTCTGTTATTAAGTTATGGCATGACACACACACATATATATATATATAGGTATAGAATGATATAGAAAAATGAACTATCATATTCTATTGTATGCTTGTAATTTATGTGAATTTGTCCAAGCCCGGCTTCCAGCAGTTTGCAGCTCCGCCAGATGGCCATCCCGCGCTTCACGGCCATTGATGGCTTCTCTGATGCAGCCGCTAGCACGGACCTGGCCAACATTGCGGTGAAGTACCAGAGCAGAGGCATGTTGGATCTGTTGATGAATGGTTCGAGATTGGCCAAAGAGATTGGGTTTGAATAATTTCAGAATTGGCTGAGCTGTTGACAAGGCAATTTTCAGTTGGTCTTAGAGTCTTACCAGCATTTGTGCCTCAAAACTGAAATGTCGTCAGACGGAGACATGCGGGCCCTCCAAGTGCAGCGTCATTTCGACCCCAGCCAGCTGGAGAGGCAGCAGGAAGTTGGACCATGAGTTCCGGACGCGTTTCTTTGAGCCTCTGCTGGCTGCATTGCAGAAATGCTTGGGCCCCAGGATGGTCCAAATCTATTTGGAGACTTTGGAGCGTGTCAGAGGGTGAGTTAACACGGCAACATTCTCAGGGCAACTCGACTCCGACTGTCAAAGGCCGGCATATTCCTGCATATTTACATGGTTGTTCTATGGAAAAGTGGAAAAACACATACAAGTTTCCCGCTTCCAGGTTTGTTTCTGAAGGCGTTGTGTATTTCAATGTATTTCAAAAAGTGGCTTCAGTTTCTCATGGACATGCCGTCATCTCACCATGTTACTGTTCCCTGAGGTGCACGCCCAGGTCGCAATGGACATGAAGTGGAACACATGGAGTCGGAGGTCCAGCGGATAGGCCTGCGGCATTGCCAGGTTTGTCCCATAGGATGGATTTTGAAGGATTTTCATAGGGGTTGAATGATTTTCATTGATTTTTAATGATTTTTATTGATATTATATGATATTATATGATATTATTGATTTTCATGGCAAGGAGTCGTGGGCTTCCTGTAGGGGTTTTGAGGATTCGTGAGGTGGTTTCCAGCTTTGGATTGTGTCAGATTCGTCCTGCTGCGGCAGGACTCACCAATTTCGGCGCCTCAGACGGCACTTGTGGGGAGTGGACCGTTCAACAGCCAGACCATGTTGAAGAAACTTGTCGAAAGATCAATCACCCGTCCTATAACTTGTACAATCTTCAACTTTGACGCTGGGCTGTGGTGCTTTATCAAGCAAAGCTTATTTGCAGTGGAAGTTGCAGCAGACACCATCCATACCAACCTGTCAGCTGTTGTCATTCGATTGTAAGGCTACATGTATGCTCGGGAGGCATTTCGAGAACTAGGCAGGGATATGTTTTGTCCTACAACAGTTGGAGTGGCTACCAATCACAACCTTTTCAATTTCAAAGACTTGACTCTTCATTTATCTTGAGCCCGATCACTTTCTGGAGTTCAAATATGTTGAAATATGGTTGAATCCTGGAGAACTCCCAAGAAGCAGTTTCAACGTGTTTGACTCTTGTGGGGGTGCAGCTTGTTTGATCTTGTTTGAGGATTGATCAGCCATGCTGAGAAAAAATTGATTGTTGTTGAATTAATGCGTTGGCCCCTATTTAGGCCACATTTTCTTTGCGGCAAAGGGCATATGTAGTGCCAAAGCCAGCTAAAACCTCCATCAGCGCAGGTTTCCAGAGCCGGCTCCACAACGAGGCGGCGCCGCAGTGGGTGGCCCACGCGCGGCTGCTGGCGCGGAAGCACACGGAGGAGTGGCGCATTCCGGGAACCGAAAACATCGTGGTTGGGGACCCCATGGGGGGAGGGATGGAGGAGTGATGGTGTGATGCTGTTGCCTGGATTTCAACAAATAGGATGGGGGATGATGGGGGTTCTGGTGATATGAATGATATTGAATGATGATTATGCATTAGGGTTAGGGTATGTAGTGTAAGCTTTTGCGCATGGTGGTTCATTATAATCCGAAGTGCACGAGTTTCCCCGCAGCAACGCAGCCACCAATAAAGTAAGCCCGTGGAGTTGCCCTAGCTTGCCTGGTGGAAACTTTAATCTGAGGCCGTGGTTTCCTACGAATTGCACTACCGCAGTAGCCTTAGATTTGTTTTCTCAGGGTGCAGGGACTCCACAACCTAGATATCCTAGATCCAGCTCCAGAATCCTCAAGAAGCCCGGACAAAGCCAGCACCAACATCAACTTTCTACACTTGTTTTGGCATCAGCGGCATCAACCCAGATTTCCAGTCAGCACTTTGCCATACCAAAGGGCATCAAAGGGCATCAAAGGGCACAACGGATGGGATCACATCCAGGTGGTCAGGTTCTTCGACAGGAGCCAAAGGTGGTGACCAATGGCTGGGCAGAGGGCGTGCACAATGAGGTGAAGGCACGGGAGGGGCACTGCAGTTGTTTGGGGTGAAGGTTGGTGGTTGTTGCTGTAAGAAGATTAGGTATGTAGTATGGATTATGTTGAGGAAGTGCAGCTTGTATTACCAACATTTTGTGTAAAGCTCAGTTGGTAGCAACACAGATAGAGTAATCCTCCTCACTCATGCTCATACTCATACTCATACTTATCCTCATCATGATGCTAAGAATCATGTTCAAAATCATGATGATGACAGCGCCCCAACCACCATCCAACCGTATCCAACCACCACTTACATCCACTCAGGCCATGCTGCGCGCCGTGGATGCCCGTGGCTGGTCCTGTGAATCCTACTCGCAGCGAGTGGCGCTGCTAGAGCTGTTGGAGGCGCGAAAGGCTATGGGTTTTTGATGGTTTTTGACCCATGGAACCCTCTGGTGAAGCCCAAAATATTTGGCAAATGGATGTAAGCGGATGTGAATAACCCCAAATATAGGGCCCGTATGGGCCCGTAGGGTTTAGCCCACAGCCATAGAACTCCAAGATGTTCCAACATTATTCCGAATATGTGTACGATGTTGAACAGGATGTTAGTGAATTATGATGATTCCAATATATCTGGAAGGGGGGCCCTCAAACTTGTGTATGTTGCCAATGATCGGACAATTGTTCTATTCATGATGTTCTTGTACAGTCACCTTTGTTGACCATCCTTTGTTTTGATGCAAGCATGCTTGATTCCATGATTTCGAATCTTCAAGAAGGTGTGACACCTGCAGCTTCACCAAATTGATGATGGCTGCAATGACTGCTGAGGACACTTGCAAACTTTCTGGTTATCGAGATCCAAACAGCTTTGCCCAAGACCTCTGACTAGGAAGCCTGTCCCTGCACTTCAGTGCATTTGACTTGGTGGTGAGGCAGCCCGAAGCCAATTCGGAGATGGCTGTGTGCCCGAACTCTCTGGATGGCTTCGCATCTACGACTCTCATCACACCAGTGTGATGCTTGATCTGCATGTAGGGATCATATACAGTACTTGACTTGGGGTTACTTGGGAGTGTCAAAATGGATTTGGTACCCTCTGGAAACAAACATGGCAATATTTTCCACGTTATTGTCACAGTTGCTCCAACTCATGAATAAATCATCGCCCCCCCGGGGGGACTTTCTGTGGTTTTACCTCTTTATCCAACCCCTAGTACTTGGATGTACTTGGGGTGTTGGGAGCAACCGACGAATTCTATGGCTCTCAGGACAGGCCTTGCCATTTTCTGCCAGTTCCGACGACAGGCTCCTCAGGTGGTGCGGCAACACGTGGGGAATGGGTGATCTGGTGGGGAAGATATGAGGTGATGGACCATATGATAGACCAAAGTGATACCGAAAAACAATGCGGTGACATATGTGGCCAAGCCATTTTCTTGAGAGTTCGCAGGACTCAACACATCAGAGACTTGTCTTTCTTTAAGCAAGAGCAGCGGCACTCTTTGCCACGCCATTCACCCATTATATACTTTGAAAATCTAATGGGGTCCCCGAAGTGCCAACAAGAGGTCTTACTTTATCATGCTCCTTCTTGGTTGACAAAGCATGTTTGGATATGTTTTGCACTTGTCATTTCTTTTAATTCAAAAGGGTATAGCCACTGGGCCTGCAACCAGGTTGACATTGAGTTGGACTACGATGGCGGCTGGCACACGTGGGCTGGCAAGCCTCGCCCGTTAACGACGCTTTCCAGCGCGTCTCGGCAGGATGATGATCCAATCCAATATGTTTCAAATGAATTGAATCGATTTGAAGCAGGAGAATCAGGGATGAGCAGGGTTCCACAAAGAATATCAAGGAATCTGTTTTGCAAACTCAGGAGGAGAGCCTTCACTACTACAGCTGAGCGCTGTTTAGATCGCACTAGGGCCAGCACAAAAGTGAGGGCCATGGCGGAAAAAACGCTGAACATTGGAGAGTTTAAGCTGGCCAAGCCGTCAACATGTTCCATTGTCATGTTCCCAAATATGTAATTACATGTAATTACTGAACATATATCAATAGTTCGAAAGCAAGACATCGCACGGAAGTTCATGCCAGGGCACAGAAACACTACGTAAGAAATGTAAGAACTTGAGATTTGGTGAAGGTGGGGGAGGGAGTGAGAGAGACATCAATTTCACAGGTGTACATTTAGAACAGCACCAGAAAGCATGACAGATGTGCATGCATAATTTGTCCATGCATCCCGAAGTCGGGGTTCTGTCCTGATTTTTTCCAGGGTTGCTGAAGCTTCAGTGGACTGCTGCAAATCTGGCTCGCAGTAACCATTGGAGAACGATGGGGATCAATGAAGTTACAAGATCAAGAATTGACAAGGTCCCCGTGAATTTCATGTGGTGCCACGATTTTACCGATGCAGGACCTGATCATTTGATATTTGCAGCTGAATCGCAAACAGTTCAAACATGTCCAAACTGCCACATGGGGTCTTCGAGGTCTTCGACATTCAGATCTCTTTCAGATCTTTACATGCCACGCCCTTGCCTGAGAATCTTGGAAGATCCACACGAGCAAAGCCCGTGCGTGCTCCTACGTAGCTGCGCCATGGCCGGGTAATGGGTGAGCAACTGCTGGAAATGAGTCGTTGCTCATCCAAGAACTCAACAGGCAGGTCATTCGCTGACGATGTCGGCTGTGAACTCAAGAGGGAACCGTGGAAAAGGAATTATAGCATTTCTGGATTTAAAGAAGCAACATGAATCAACCGCAAAACAACAGACGACTGAAAGCTGCCACCATGTATACCATCACTTCAATATTAGTGACATAGCGTTGCTGTGGCTCATCAATTACTTTGCAACTTGGAATCGGAGGTAGCACTGTGCCAATCTACACGCTGGAAGCGAGTCATTTGCGAAGATCTGCGTTCCTTGGATATTCTGGAAGTGGGGTAGCGCTATCACCCCGATCTTGGTGATCAGGGTCGGCCCCGTTGATATCCAAGGAACCTAACGGTGATCATAAGGTCTCTAATTGGTCAGAACCTCCCAAGACCCCAGATCATCCATCATCTGCTACTTTTGGCTTACATTCGCCATGACATCCCATAACATCCCATAACCATTTGCCCCAAACAAGTCACCAAATGATCCAACAATAGGTGAAGAGCATCCCAACACCATGGATTCTGTTGAGTGTAAGATGATGTAAGATGACCCAATGTTCACCCCAGGCCTCTAGAAACTCAGGAGGGGCCTAAAATGGGAAGCTCCACGTCTTCGAGATCAGGATGATTCACGGGGAGTGGCGGCCTTGGATGGGGTCCATCAGTATAGCTATCTAGTTGGGATCACATGATAAATGTGGTTGGAAGATTTGGAAGCATGTGAGCCAACAGCATAGTTGAAAATATATGAAAATATACTGTAGATCTACTCTCTACATTCAGGAGACGTCACGTCTCTGTCTTCTGCAGTTTTTGGCCCGTCCGGGCGAATGATCGCCCAGATCGCCCAGATCGCCCAGATGGCCCAGGTCACAAAGCAAGAAGCTTTTTGTTGGATCCTCTATGGTTCATCAAACGCGGCTGGGTGGCACATGGTGGCACCGAGGTCAGCCCCAGCCTTTCAGAATTTACCAATATCCCAGGGGAAAATGGGATGATGCCGCAAAAAAAAAAAAAACATTAAAAAAAACAATGGGATTCCTCACTTGGCATGGGCAATGAGTATGTTTTCCATTGCTTTCCTGTGGGTTTGTTACCCACTTTGCATGGTGAAACCCACCAGACATTGGATGTGAGGCCAGTACAGTCATGCGCTTTGCGCGGGGCGAGCCTGCATCGCATCTCACGGATTTGTTGCTGGCGTTGTTTACCTATTGGTACCTTTGGCGGCAAATCCTTTTCCGTCAAATCCCAGCAGTGAGTACCGGCAATGATGGTTTAGTTATGTTTAGTTTATAGTGATGGTGGAAATATTGGAAATGGCTTTGTCAAGCTTGATATTAGAAGCCTATACCATAGGCCCCCAGATAACTGATGATAATTGTATAATGATATAATGAATATAATGTTCCACTTTCAAAACTCAGGAGCCTTTACTCTGCTTCTGCAGATTACGCCGCTCGGAAGCAAGTTCAGTGATTTGTGAAGCAATGGCCTCCAATCTTGCTCACCCTGGCAGTGACCATTTGGCAATCTAACATGGCTAGACGGGACCCCCAATCAAATTTCAACTCAGCCGACATTAAACTTCATATATCATTCATATATCTTCATATGCTATGGCAATGTATGGCATTTATTCATAGTAAATACCACGTACTGATGCCCGGAGAATGGTAACATTCAAAATTGCCTGAAGATGCCTGAACTGAGTCCACACGTTTCAATGCAGATGGATTAGACCATCGGATATTCTACATGTTGCAACTTGGCTGGCATTTGAAACATTTGTTATTTTGTAATTTGCTTTGCTTACTTGTCTATCCTGGCGGTCAAACGACCGGTGACTGTGGCTGAATGTGAGGCATATTAGACTTTGTTTCAGTTTGTTTCCACACATTATACTTGCAGGCCATGCCATATGAATGGTGTACGCAAACATGTCGGCAGTGTTTCTCTAAGTGCAGCCAGTGGTGGCAGGGCATCCACTTTTCATGTTGCAGGTTGGCCATCTCCATCTTCGTGATGGATGTGAACTGGACAGGCATCCTGCTTTGCTGATGATGGCAACTCCCAACCCTCCAACGGAAATCGTTTGTGGAATAGCCGTGGCCATCCACGATTTCGATTGGCATCAGGACCATTGTTGATATTGATCGTTCAAAGATGTCCAACTCATGAATTCAACTACTATATGTTAGTCTAATGATTGGACAGATTCAGTGACCTTACACGGATTCGTTGGACATTGCTTGCTTCAGCAGCTGCAGGTGACATCTTAGCATCTGGAAATGCGGCTGCACGATCCATGCACTTGTCTTGTTTGGCGGGGTGCTATTTGCTGTCTCTTGGCGTTATTTGTTAGCGAGTTATAGCAACAAAAGTCGCACGGCGTGCTGTTTCGTGCTGTTTCGCAACCCGCAACTCCATTTCTTGCAGTTCCAAAGTGAGGAGTGAACACATCAGTTGGACCCGGAGACCCTGTAAGGAACACACTGTCACATGGCAGGGCGCACGCCACCCACTTCAGTTGATGCCTTGAGGATCGGCATCATGCACGCAAGAGTTGCTCTGTGTCTTCGAAGCTGTCGCAGCTTGGCAAAACTCCTTGAAGGCAAGGTTTCTGCAGCATGATGGTCAGGGTGTTGGAATTGATGTTTGAAGGTTGCAGGTTCGAATCTCGGCATCGCGTTCTTTCGGCATCTAATGGGTCTGTTACTATATCGTTTTCTTGGTTTCCTGTAGTCTTCCTTTCACAATCACACCGCGTGCGCAACTTATCAGAGTTGTTGCAAGGCCCGGCTTCATGGATTGGAAGCACTCCAAACATGTGCGAAAAAAAATCGGAGCTTGAAAAATTGTTTATCTGCAAAACCCGATTTCATCCCATAAGACCATAAGGGGTCACACCACAAAAAAATGAACCGCAAAGCGGAATTGCAAACCTCACGTATAAGCAGTACAGTAAATTAAGAATGTGGCAATTCTATTCCAGAGCCCCTCAAATTCTTATTAAAGTATTACGCGTTTGGTATAGCTGAAAATATGTAGCCCGCCTTGGATTCGAGTCCCTCAAATTCTTATACAGTGACTTCTTGTACAATACTCAAGCTGTATTTGCTGTGATCATCGGGACATCGATGACTGCATGTCATGAGATTGGTTACGCTAGATGTCTCGTTGGAGACTGGTGAGGGCACTTCGTGAAACCAGCGAACTAATTAATGAAATCAGTCATGTCTGGGTGATCTGACAGCGATGGAGAGAGAGAGAGAGAGAGTGAGAGAGAGAGAGAAAGAGAGACAGAGACAGAGACAGAGAGAGAGAGAGAGAGGGAGAGGTAATGTCTTAACTTCAGGTTGGAGGAGAAGTGTGACATTTTAATCTCCCAGGTGCTGCGCTAGTGAAATTGCAGGAAAAGGCTCTGGACCTGTCATGGGACCTGCTGGATCTGAGGCAAGTTTGCGGTGTATCACATGCTGCTGAACGCTGCCAGCGTGGGCTTTTACTTGGTCGCGGCCCGTAGCTCTGAAGAACACTGTGAGGCGGGAACTGCAGCTGTTCGGAGGGTACGCGAAGATGACTCGATGGCTCGATGGCAAATGTTGCAGATGTTTTTCCAAGGATCCTCGGGATTTTTCCATTGCCATGTTTGGCTTTCCGAGTGCAAGTGCTGACAGTATTGGCATCACCTGGGCATTCCTTGACATGGCACATTTGGTGGTACAGCATGAATGGAAGCCATCACTAGCTTGGACCCTCAGAAGTATCAGGACTCAAGGAGGGGAAAAGACAACATTGTGCAGTGTCGGATGCTTCAGGTTCCAAAATGGTGTGTTTTGTAGACATTTTCTGCACCCAAATCATGCAGTTAGGAAAGCAGACATTTTTCGAAAGGGAGGGTTCACTGTACTGTACAGAGTCCTGCTGTGTCACTAGCTGCATCTAGCTGCCATGGTTTCAGCAGTTCCACAGCCTCATGAGGATATCAGGAGGGCCGCGTGCATCGCAGGGAGTTGTGGTGGCACCGGAACTGACAAAGATTGGAGCACGGGTGTCCACCAAACAGGATGGACGGTTGCTGAATGCAACGGTGATGTATTTTGGAACCATCAAGAACCAACCTGGAGAGTGGGCTGGTTTGGATCTGGATGATGAATGTGGCAAATTGTGGCAAGAATGACAGATCTGTTGGGGAAGATCAGCCCTTCTATTGTCCACTGAGGCATGGTCTTTTTGTGCGTCCTTCGGCACTCTTGAAGCTGGATGAAGCGATCGCTCCTTACAGTTTCTCTTTCCCAATTTTGCCATGCCCTGGTCCTGCGGACTTCATCCGTGAGATACGCTCAAGCAGTGGTCAACCATGCAGTTTCATCCATATTATATAAATGGAACGCATCCATGCACGATAGAGATCCTGACTTCAATATGACCGTGGCTGCATCGTTGCGATTTTGCAGGCGGCCGGCGGCCGCATGAGTTTTTTTTTACTCTATATACTTTGCACCCGCCACTGACGTTTCCGCGGAAGCTATTTCTGCGATTTGCTCAGCGGGTGCGGAAAACCGCAGAATCGTGGGTGCTACACTGGACCAGGCCTCCACTGCTGCACTTGGGAAAGCTTTGCATGGTTGGTCCCACTTGAAGAGTCTATCACTAGCGTACAATAGCTTCGATAGCAGCTTCAATGAGCAAGCTTTGCTGCAAATTGTCCAGGCTGTGCTGCAAGTAGATGACATGAAAGTCTTCACCCCTCCAACTCTGGTGGCCGCTGAAGTGTTTGATGCAACGATCCAGTCCAGGCCCTTGTCAAGTTGCGCCTTCCGTTTCCTAGGCTCCGAATGAATGCCGGCTGGGAGCAAAGTTTGCTAGATTGCAGGGTCGCCATTCAAGCCATCAAGAACAAGGCAGCAGAAAACGCTGTGATGTCACGGCAGCTCGACTTGTCATTGTTGCGTTCGTACACCTCGGGCGACTTGGGACGGACCACACGCGTCTACCGAGATTTGAAGAACCAGATCGCCCAACGCGAGCAGGACCGTAGGACCGTTAGCTGAGCTTGTTGTCGTTGCTGCGCCAAAAGTATTGTATCATTGGCGGTTATGAATTTCTTCACTCTCTTCCTTTGGACTTCGATGTTTACAAGGACAAGGGGGCCTCTGGCCAGCAACTTCCGGATCCTGTGTTGGCCATGTCTACAGAGTCGCAGGTTAGATACGTCCTGGCAGTTGCCCATTACAAAGCTGACGTTCTGAATGACCTGTGCAGCCAGGTAGGGTCGTTCTGCGCTGGTCTGGAAACATGCCGCGAAACTGATAAATGGAATAAATGGAAGAACGTTTGGAGTCCCTCCTGGAGAATAGGGGCATTGCCAGTGTAGCATGCCAGGCGATGGTTTTAGAAGATAGTGACCAGTTCTGTTTTCAAGCAGCGGGGCTACTACCTTGGAATGCCAGTCTACTGTGAATGCAACGAATCTACATACATGGGGAAGTACGCCTGGCGCACTTCCAAAATCTTCCAAATGTGAACCTCAGAGCGGCCGGCAGCGAGCCTTACTCCCTTAAGGATGCCGTACTGAAGTTCTTGACACGCAGGGCGGAAGACCCCTCCTTGGGGCAGCTGGCCAGTTTACGTGAATCATTGTACCAGCTGAAAGTTGGACCCATGAAGGGTTTGGCTCGCGCGCAGCAGAAACAGGCACAGTGGTTGCTTGATGTGAATCGCTGCACCTTTGTGGCTGATTCTCCCCTGATCTTGGCGCTGATTTTTCACCTGATCGACCAAAAAACACGGGCAATGGGTGGTGAATTTAGCCGACTCAACAACTACTTCTTCAAGGACGGGAACCTGAATATGGAAATGAAACAACCTCCCCGAGGATACTAGCTGGACATATGAAGTGATGCTCACCCTTTCTGATTTTGCAGAGGCCAAAGAAGTTCTGCACAAGTACTACGAAATAACTAGATGTTCAAGATTGTTCAAGCCCACTGGACTTGATGGTGCCGATTTTCAAACCTTTTCCACTAGATCCGACGAGTAAACTGACCGAGTGAAGTGAATACCTCGGCCTCAGGTGCTTCGCATTGTGTCACCATGCTTCACCAAATAGCATGCTGAATGAAGCCCAATGAATGGAGCTCAGAAAAAGATCAAGTTGCGTGCGGCTTTGCATGAACTGTTGTGGCTTCAGATGGTCAAGACATGTCAAGACGAGGCCAGTGAGTGATTGGCCCATGAGTGTCAACAGTAAGTGCAAGCAGTGGAGTCAAGAATATTCATGACCGTATTGTTGTCACTGCAATGCTCTTTCTTGCATGATGGTCATCGCATGATTGTGGAGGTGCTATGCTGGCTGGGATGCGCCCTCTTTCTATTGAGGACGTTGTTCTTAGAGCAGCTCCATGCAGAAACCAGCTGTAGGGCAATCCTGAAGGTAGACAACATCCGGGTTGGAATAGATCTAATAGATTCCAATAGGAGAATCAGGCCAAATTACGACGAATTGAAGATTATTGAAGCTGGGGGGTGTTTTCCCTACTTCAGGATGAGCTTCAAAGGCATCGAACCGGGCCCATTGATATTCCAGTTCCGGCTCCTCACCTGTGTGACCGTAGGACCTATGGCATTCCCATCGACCAGAACATCAACCAGATTACGAAGCAGAGAAATGCGCAAGACTACATCAGCAGCTCGGAAACACAACAGTTGCACGGATGATTGGTCAATAGTCATTGTTGGCCAGGGATGCAGCCTCAGTGATCAATTAGCCATGATTTGGCGGAGAGACTGACACATTGGAAGTATCAACCATGTCAACTCAGCCTTCTGCCAAGGGCAATACTATTTTTAACGCAGATTATATTGTGAGCAGCACTTGGGATCAAAATGGCAATCGTCCCTGATATGTTGCACATGCATCTACCAAAGAAATACAAAGAAACACTTCTACAGGCCAGCATAAACAACATTGCGAGTGAGCACAGCGTGTCTATAGGCAACTGCGTCCCATCTCAATCCTCTTTGGCATTGCGCTAGTTGCTTTCAAGATCTTTGAACTTTAAACCGACTACCTCGAAATTTTGAATGGCATTTCACTGTGACCTTTGTCATTTCCTCCGCTGAGATCGTGCACAGTCCGTGATGATCACTACTTTGGCTCCTCGGCCCCGAACGACGAAGGACCCATGAACGACCCAGCTGGCAGCCGAGGCTTTGGTGGTGAAGTGTGTGGTCAAAGGAGTAAAGCCAGGTGCCTTCGAAAAAGATGGTGGGATATGGTGGGATTGGGTGCCACAGCAAGCTGGACAGGTCTTAGAACTGTGACATATTATATATGTATGTAGTATGTACCCTCTGGTTATTTAATATAGCCGCCATGGGAAATGACCCGTTTATAGACGGTTTACCTATTAAAAATTGTGACTCTCCATGGCTACGTTAAATAACCAGTATGTATATAGTCACACTGTGTCACACTCCTGTGGACTGTGAGAAGTTGGCTGTGGCCAGGTGAAATCCACATGGGGAACTGTGACCTCCTGTTGCTGTCGCTGGTGTTGCTGGGCTGCAGCCGCAGCTTTCGGACATCCAACGTCTTGGACGGATGGGGAAACCCCCCAAACCTCAACGGTTCAGGGGATGCTCCAACAAGAAATAACAAGAAATACCCTGCCCATCCCTGCCCAAGAACTTCTTAACTGGAGGCTAGTGTTGCTCATCAAGCTGCTGATGTTTGATGTGCACATCGCAGCACCTCGGACAGTTTGATTCAGCTCATGTGCGCGCATGGTTGGTTTGCATGTCTTGGCTTGCATGGGTTTGCTTGCACTGCTGATCATGTTTGGAAAACTGGACATGTTTTGGAATTGTTGCTCAGGGTCCTCTTCAGAAACGAGTGTTGTTGAAACACTGATTGGTGATTCACCACAATCAATTGTAACTCATAAAATAGGAAAAAGCGTGCAATATAGCTATATATACAAGGACTAGAGGCGAAAAGTCTGCCGCAGCCAATCCTCCCATACTTTTGGCACCATCCTTCCCAGCCTTGGCATGCGTGGGTGAGGATACGAAGTGGCATGCGGTGAGATGTTTGTCCAGCTGGCGTCCCACCTTCTTCCTGAGTTTGGTGCCCGTGGCCATGGCGGGAGCAGCTCGGTTTCTACACCCGGTTGCTGAATCCCACATCTTTTGCTGGCTAAATTAGTTGAATCACGTTGAATCCGCATATTTTTCTTGGTGAAAGTTGCAGTCAGATCCCCTACTTTTTTGCTGGTCTTAGTATTTAGAAGCAGTTTGATGTTGATGTTTTTGAAGCCTCCATGTTTGCAGAGGTGATGATGATGGCGGCAGGATGTTTCTTGATCTTGGACCTGGAGTTTCAGGACCGGCTGCTGCAACTCCAAATTTCGTGGCCAGTCGACCGCGGGTTTGCTTGATGTAGAAGCCTGGGGTTATTGGAGTGGTACTACGAGGCTAAAATGACAGCCCAGTTTGAAATTATATTATTGATTGTTGGGGAATGCCTATCAACCAGATAAAGCTCATAATCGTTCTAAAAACTGCATATTATACACTCCACGGCTACATGATTTGTTGAGACCTTTACCCCTTCATGTTCACCCTTTTATGGTACAGTATGCATTGTAGTGGAAACTTTCCACATTGCCTTTTCGCTGGCTTGGTGATGTGACGCATCTAACGGATGAGAGAGAGAGAGAGATGGAGATGGAGATGGAGATGGAGAGAGAGAGAGAGAGAGAGATGGAGAGAGAGAGCGAGAGAGAGAGAGAGATGGAGATGGAGATGGAGATGGAGATGGAGATGGAGATGGAGATGGAGATGGAGAGAGAGAGAGAGAGAGAGATGGAGATGGAGATGGAGATGGAGATGGAGATGGAGATGGAGAGAGAGAGAGAAAGAGAGAGAGAGAGAGAGATGGAGATGGAGATGGAGATGGAGATGGAGATGGAGATGTAGATAGAGAGAGAGAGAGATGGAGAGCGAGAGAGAGAGAGAGAGAGAGAGATGGAGATGGAGATGGAGATAGAGATGGAGATGAGGATAGAGAGAGAGAGAGAGATGGAGATGGAGATGGAGATGGAGATAGAGAGAGAGAGAGAGATGGAGAGAGAGAGAGAGAGAGATAGATAGATAGATAGAGAGATGGCGTGGCCAGCAGCTGCCGTTGCAGACTCCGTCAGAGATTTCAGTATCATTTTTTGCAGGACTACGATCGCCGTTCAGCCAAACGATTCGATCAAAAGGCTGGGCGAAATTTCAGTTGCGGTGACTTGGCGTGATTCGGCCAAACATTTAGCTGGGGAATTACAATGAATTATATACACTTATTGAAACATCCATCAGAATATGACAAGAACATTGATCTCCCCCAAAGATGAAAGAACATCAAGATTACCACCAGCGCAATGTTTGTGAGCTGATTTTCCGAATCTGGACAGGCCGCTTTCAAACTGCAGGTTTCGGTTTGATGTTGGTGGCGGTGACGATCATGCGATTGTTGCACAACCGCCCTGAACTGCCCAGCGTGCCCGCGCCCTCGCGGTCCGCCCGGCGCATCACCCGGATGTGGCAGGCACAGCCCATTGATGTTGCCCTTGGGATCCCTTGGGCACTTTAATATGATGACAAATTATAACTAACGATAGTGACATGTAGTCATCATGTAGTGACATTCAAGTGTTCATCTTACATTTGACATTGTGGAACATGGGACCGCTACAGTTGCACTGCGGTGATTCAGAATGTTCAGTTACATTGTCGAAAATAAGTTGAATTCATGTTCATTTTTTCATGATATCATCAGGTTCCTGCGCAAACCCTGCTCTGCCAGGTTCAGGTGGTAGTGCAGCTGGTTTTAGCCGTGATTTCCTTCAACCACTCCAGCGACACCACTGGACGCGATGGACTCTACCGCTCAGCGCCTTGGCAGAGATCGCATTCGCTATGTGCTTTCATGGAATCTGTGGCAGTGCCTGCAGTTTGGAGGGGTGAATGGCTGAAAATAGATGAATATGTTGGTTCATGTTTTTGTGTTTTTTACTTGGAGCATATTGGGTGGGAGCCAAGAACCATGTAAACATGTCTAGCGCTCATGCCCCACACCTGAGGTGAAACTGACCGCCTTTTTGGTGCTGTTGAACCTGCTGGATGAAATGGAAGAGTTGGGTCACTATAGTGGGAACTGGAAAGTGGTCCGGGAACCCAGGGTTAGTGGCACCAAAAAATTGATTGGTCAAGATGTTATTTCTGACAATCTCTGGGGGTGGGACATGGTGTCCAGCTGCGTGAGTGTGTTGCATTATCGGTGTCCAAGGTTCGCACAGTGTGTTGCTCGTTTGCACCATCAGCGCCATGTTGCATGGTCAAACTCATGAACATGTGAGTTTTTCGTGGGCTCTTCCAGCGAGGGCGTCAGAAAGGACATGATATTAGGTAGACATCTCATCCAAGCTTCAGTTCCGTTTGTGGTGGTGGATTTTAGACGTAGTTCAGCATTTCTTTGGCTTTGGATCATGGGGGCCCTTTATAGATCCAACATGATCCAACAAAAAGTAAGAAGTGCGAAGCAGGCGAAAGTTCCGCGGCTTTGAGGCCTGCTGGATGGGATCACCAGATACATGACGCATGAGGAAGAGGTCCCCTCCGCAAGCGGATCTTCCAAAGGATCTGACGATGTGTCTGGTCCCAGTGATCCCGGGACACTCGACGGACTCGAGAGCCGGGGCAATACCAAGAAAGTTCAGAAAGCCAATTGTGCCTGGAGTAATTCGGTCATGCCTCTTGCAGCAGTGTGAAGCCTGAAATCTGCGGTGAGAATTTATGTTGCGTTTTGCTTCTTGGTTGAATTTTTGAGGCTGCTTGCCTTTTTCAAGCATACTATATTCTTGGTTGTTACCCTTCGGTGTCATCAAACATGATCTATAGCTAGAAATTCCCCAACAAAATGCGCATTTAAATGGGACAATCATTTGTAAATAGGGAATTGTCCATTGCCATGTTCGATTGCCGGAGGGTTCGATTACCGGAGGGTAAGACTCAAGAATGGTCAAGGTGGTTCAGGCACACTGACTTAAGACACTGCTCAGGGGCCGTCCCGGCGTTTTTCCGCGCAAGGGAACAGCTGCTCAAGACGTGTTGGGAGGTGAGTAATGATTGCCCCTGACATGGTTCCATCGGTCTTGGGTTTTCTTGGAGTGCAGGTCGGTTCGTTGGGTCCGATAAGCATATTCAACCCCTCGGGGCCATATCTCGTAATTATTTCTAATTGTCTTGCTAAAATTTCTTAAGCGAGATGTCGAATGTTGGTAAGAGCAGCTCAGCTATTTATTTGTGCCATTGAACCCTGCGGAGTCCAAGGAGAACCCCCCTTTCTTTTGCGCCGGAGATGCTGCGACCCAATACATGGGGACCAGCGGCTGGCCTCTACTGTCAGCGCTGAGTGAGTTCCATTTTCTGGGCTTTGCGCGGAAAAAATAAATGGTGAAACAGATACAGCTCAATCAAGCTCCAAGCCACTGGACCTGAATGGCTGGGACGTTTGGAAGTTGGTCATGCTGGTATGTATGTAACTGGCTTGTGGGAAGTAGATAGGCTTGATTGTTTGAGGTGGGGGAAGGAACCAGAGGACCATCCGGCTGTGATGGCTCTTTCAGGTAGAAGTGTAGCAACTGATGGGGGCGACCGAAAGCAGAAATGGCAACGCTTCACAAAACCATGCAAAACCAAGGGTTGCATGAAGCCATCGTGTGTCAATGGCATGGTGGGAACAATCAGAGGCACAGTAGCACATGGCATTTGCCAGTATTTACAGCACAGCTCAATGCCCCGCAATTGACCCTTGCCATCCCTTGCCCAAGAAATCTATTCCTCAGACAGTTCCAATGTTCCAGAAGCCATAAGAAACGCTACTTGTCTCACCAAGTTGCGCCTGGGTTGCCTGTCACCTTTCTTTGGAGCCTTCGCTCCCGTTCAAGGCAGGGCATAAAGAGAAAGGCAAAGGATGCATGATATTTTACACTTATTTCACATATTTTACATGCATTTGGAATATAACATTTCACCTGTATTTGCGTGCTTGGTTTCATATGTGGTTGAAGGATGAGGATGATCAGCACCTTCCTGCAGATCCGGAGTCGAAACTCCCGGCTCCAGTGCGATGTGTGCAGGTGGTTAAACCCCTTGATGCAGGGCGGTGGCCCTGGATCAGCTTCCAGTCGGATGTGGAGCACATTCCCAGGGTGAGCAGAAAAAAGTGCAATTAGAGATCTGATGTTCTCCTGAGATGGCGATGGAGAGCGAGAGAGAGAGAGAGATCTGATGTACTGTAATTAGATTAGATCATATTATAGTGAAATGTATGTATAGATTATGTAATTGGATCATCATATGGGATATAAGGGTGTGTCAAAATGTAGCGGGCTGCAGTGATGGGTCATGACTCAGCCCGAGGTGGACATGGCTAAGAAGCAGGTGGCTGGTTACATCTTGGAAAAGCTTGGGGGCCTGGTTGCTGGATGTTCCTAAAATGACTGAAGTTGTTGGTTTCAAGTTTCAATTATATAGTGTTCAGGATTAATCAGTGACCATACTTGCATGATCTCAAAAGAACTAATCTTCTGATATGAATGCATACAGTATCAATCAATATCATATTATCATATCATGATGAATCTACCTGATCATCCCAGTTGACTGGCTTTAATGTATATATGCATATATATATATATGCAAATATATGTAGATAAGAATAAGTTGCCAGCTCCAACCCAGTGATCTACCCACATCGACATTCCAATTTGTGGGGTCCCAGCTGCGGGATGTGATGGACTAAGATGAACCCTGAGTGCCTTCCATCCCACTTGTGAACCTCTCCTTTGATTAAAATAATGTTGCATAATGTTGCCTTACCATGGTTGTTTCCCGATGCGGGCACGATGATGGATGACGGGGGTGATATGGGGTGTTTGTGACCCAGCAAGCAGTCCTACAAGCCTCTTCGGCACTGGGTACTCTTTCCGCCACTCGAACCTAGGCGAATTGGCAAGGGCTCATATGCAACCGTGTGGAAGGGCCGGGACGATAGACCCTTGGCTGTATTCCTTTTGATCCATGCCTCATTCTTGCTACTTTATCCCTGTTAGACGTGAATCAGAGAGAGAGAGAGAGAGAGAGAGTGACATCGATTTTCCCACTTTTTTTCTCTCCATTTTCGGATCGCTTTCTCCTTTCAGACTTCAGAAATTGCCATGAAAGTTGAATGGAAGAATCTTTGTCCCGCCCCTCAGAACAAGAGCTGGTGGCCATCAAAGTCAGCACCTCAGTTGGCTTTTCTGGTCATCGGTTCATGCTTAAGGCCCTTCGATTTTCAGGAAATTATGGTAGAAACCAGGGCCATTTCAGAAATCCACCTGATTGGCGCTGTCAAAATGCTTCAAACACTTCTGAATATCTATAAATATATCTATTATTATATCTATTATTATATGATTGTATGTATACAGTATCTCTCTCTATATTTGTGTGTATTTATATATATACACATGTTTTATTTTTCCTTCCCAAACAACATGGGACGATGACCCCGGAGGTCGGCCCAACCACCGGTCAGGCACTGGATATCACTTGGCCACAGACACCCGAGGTCATTAGTCGCCAGACTGTGACTGAAACTGCTCAGCTGCGACAAGAAGTGGAGGTCCTGGGGGCCATTGTCCATGGTGTTTTTCAATGGTGTTTCAAGGATGCTGGGGATGGGTATCCCATAGATTTTTCATTGCTTTTCATGGCTCAATGGTGTATCAAGATGCCGTTTGGTAATCTAACAATTTGTTACAGACAATTGTCTATGAGTGTAGGTGATTTATGTTGATTCTACTGATTTACCCAACAGAAAAATGTGGCTGTCCCTTTTTCTACAAAAAACTGCTGGGTTTCCTGAGGGTATTTCCTGGTTGTGACAGCACGTCCCCTGCCAGGTGCTTCGAAAAATATCTCACCCGAACATCGCCACTCAGTTGCACCCGGATCTTTTGGGGCGTGGCGAAGCTTGGCACCGAATTGGCCCAGGTACGTTTCCGGGACCTCAAGAAGAGTACAGCTCACTTCTACCTAGTGCTGGAGTGACCACCAGAAAAGCAGATGGTAATTTCTTGTTATTTTCCCCCGCCCTTTGAAATTCTGTGTGTTACTTTGCAGTAGATTGTGGAATAGTATGTTTTGAGATGAGCTCATGGCATCCTCATTCCCTTTGGGAGCCGCAAATATGTCCGTTCGGTGCATGGATGGCACCTTTGGTCAAAGGGAAAGAGCAGCAAGTAAAGTGCTGAACTAATTAACAATAGCGTATGAAAATGTATGATACCTATAATTATCTTATATAATCTTATATAATATTATATAATTATATGCAGATTTAGATGGGGTATAGGCCAACTTATACCTGGGGGGCACCATCCTGTAGCATTCAAATGCTTTCCAGTGAACGGAACCGCAGGTATTGTGCTGGCGGGGATTTGTCGCAATTTCTTCGTGCGTTGGTGCCCCAGGGAATGTAAGGCTGCTGGGTTGAGCTGCGCTGACTTCACCCATGCAGAGATAATTGGAGCAGTTGTATTCCATTGTTGATCCAAGTTGGGGATATGATCAGAATCAAGCAGAATCAAATCATACATAAACCATACATAAACAATACAAACAAAAATCACGAACTTGACCAGTGGATTCGTGTCCTCTCAGTGAGTTCAGGAAAGGTCGGGTTCAAGAGGAGGCAGCGGAGGGCGGTTCGGGTCGGGCTGTTGATCTTTTCAGCTGGAGGTTTGTGGAAATGTGGATTTAAGTACATTTAAGTGATATTTGATGCTCATGATGGCTCATGATTCATGATTCATTACTCAAGACTGTCCTTTTTGTATTTTTTTGTGGCATTCTTAATTGCCATAGACAAAGAGACTTGGAAGCGACCTCTTTCGAAATTATCCCAAAGTGTTGCAGGTTTTAAAGGCGAACCGGATTCATTTTGAAGCGCCATCGCTCTGCATTTAACCAGCGAACATCCAGCCCATCCAGCCCTAAACCCTGGCCAGACTGCTCGGCGATTCCTCACACAGATTGCCAGCGGATTGTTTGCTCTTGGGCCCAAGGGTGGTGGAATTCGTGTGCCGGCGGCCTGAGCCTGCCATCAAAATCATCAAATCAATTCAAATCATCAAATCGCCCGGGTCTTTTTTCGCGGGAAAATATCAAAACAAACACAGATTGATGGTTAAAATCTGCCATTCGATCCCCTGATTATACATGTTGTTTCGTACCGTGCTCTCTTTGGAAACCCTGTGATTATCTCCAATGTTTGACCCAAAAAATGGCGCTTTTTTCCGCGGCTCAGGTGCTGCACAGCTCCAATCATTTGCATCGAGATTTGAAGCCGCAGAATATTCTTCTCAGCGACTGTCCCTCGGCAGTGTTGAAGCATGGATCATGCTGTAGCTGTGTGAAGATGGTAGCTAGGGAAATATATGGAAATATGCCAGGAAAAATAGGAACATCTGGATGAAGATCCACATGTTACTTCATGTTACTTCAAGACAATGAGGCACCATCCGAATTAAGATCATTAAGTATACCTTCTTCCGGCTTCGATTGAGGCTGTCCTGTCAGTTCCCGCTGAAACATGCTTCACGCCCCGCGAGATGCCTACATCAAAATCACCTCTGGCAGGGTGAAAACGATTCAACATGGTGCGCAACATAGCCAACACTGGTAGTTGACCACCTTTTCACCAGTTAAGTATTATCTCAAATCTCAATCCTCAAGATTTTACATGATTCAACAAATCATTATTATATTAACACATGAAAGTCCCAAAAACTCAGTAAGTGCAGCTCTTTGAACACAACGCACCAGTCCTTGCCACCTGCCCAGCCTCCATGGCGGCGGATTTGGCCTCAGAATTCTCGAGCCGATGGCGCAAGAGCCATCGGCAGGAGCAGCGCGTCTTTTTGCAGTGCCCCGATGAGAAGCAGTTCGGCTTGCTCCTGGGAGGACACCCACAGATGGAAGGCAGGGAAAATATGGCTGAAAAATATGGAATGAAGATGAATGAAGATGGATGAGGATGATGGGGTGGAAAGATGTGGAAAGGCTGGAGCTGTTGGATGGATTGGATGGTTTATGGAAGTTGTGCCGTCGAAACTGTGTTGCACCAAGTATGTCAGCGTTTCTTTGAGATTTGAGTGGAGTTTCTTGAGATGATTTTAGGTCTTGCGTGCTTTTCCTTTGGGCTGGGTGCATTCATCATTACTTGAATTATTGGTTTGGTGATGTTTCATGAATTTTCACGTAACCCAACTAACGATTCGCCCGTTTTGCGGGGGTCAAAACCTCCACCTGTTGTTTCATCACAGGCCTGGTGGTGGTGGATGTCCTGCACTCCAGTGTGGTCAGGGAGTGGAACGATCAAAATCCACACTGCAGCATCGAAGCTGGGATGTTAGTCATGGAGGCAGGAGATGGCATGAAACCGGGCTGACACCATGCTGGGACAAGAGAATTGCAGATTATTGATGATGGATGATTGTAAGTCATTCATGTTTTGAAACTGGTGATTTTCCATGATGTGCCCATGTTTTTCCATCACCAGGGTGTAGATTTGTTGTTTGGGCTGCGGTACTCTGAGAAGATGAGATGACATGAAGCTGTGGGAGAGTTGGAGATTAGTTGGGATGGTCATGCCTTGCCAGTGATCTGCAGGTGAACGGTATCCGTGAGCCCCAATTGATGCTTCAGCAGTTTCGAGAGGTGGGACAGGGACCGCCCAAAGGGAAGGGGCAAGGGCATTACAATGGAGTCTAAATGATGCAACACCCAGATAGATCCAGATAGTACGACATATATTTAAATGAAACTTGTTCGTGTCCATTCTTTTCCTACACCATGGAAAATATATAGCTCACGGTCGGGAGTATGGGAACTTGGACGCTTGGATGACCTCATGCTGGCGAATGATCAAGATGTATGCGTGGAAGCCACGTAATCCCCAAGTATTTTGGAAGTTTAATGCGCCATTATATATGTTTAATCCATTTCAGGGGTGAAATCTCCAAAACGATGGCTGTTTGGGTTCCAGAGGTGGCATATGAACATATATGTATAGCATCAATAATTGCACGCATGCACATGTGTTTGCATCTATTTGTATGTATACACAAGTTATATATACAGACGTACGTACTTTCATCATTTTTCATCGAGTTTTATAAATGTTTCTAATCTGCAATGAATCAATAACTCGTATATCATATATTTATATACACCTAGCCATCCAACAGCTGAGGTGAAAGCTGTGGATTTGTTGTTGAAATGTGGCCTCACTGCTCAGCAGCGTGCCGTCTATGAGTGCTCCTTGGATTTGCACAAGAAGTCTCTGAAGGCCGAAGCGGTGCTTTCGAAGGTGCCAGCGCCGGATATCGAACAAGGACACGTTGAAGTGGACGTGTGCTCCATTTGCTATGAAGATCAAGATGGCGGTGACGAAGTCTCAAAATTACCTTGTGGCCATCAGTTTCACAAACGTTGCGTGAAGAAGTGGCTCATCTCAGGTGTGGAGTCTCAATGAGTAAGCTTCTGTGCTTTGTGGCCGTATCCGCCAGCAATTGCGTGTAAGCCAGTTCCATGTAGTTATGAATTCTTAGTTGGGATGCTGCTGGGCCATCCCGCTTTTGGTACCAATGATCTTTGTCAAGTCAGGTTTGCCCTAAATTTTACCCTGACGTGATACCAGTTTTTTGTTCATTTTGCCCTCTTGAGTGTCCTGTTTCTGGGGATGACTCTATACAACCGCCATCAACCATCCTATGCTATTTGGTGAGACTGCATCTGTAGATTCTGTAGATATTGGTTGCATGTTTTTTTTCTTCATCGCAGGTTCCATGCGCTGCCCCTTGTGCAACTGCGATCTCAGCTCCAAAGCGCTCCCGTCTGAAGCGTAAAGCTGAAGCTGCGAGATGTCCGGGTGCATGGACCTCAGCCGGTCCTCGCCCGGGATGAGATGACCTGGGATGACCTGAGCATGCCATGCAACGACTTAAAATGATGCTATCAATATGTGCATCTGGTGATTCAGAAGTGAGTCAATGAAACATTGATTCATGCCTGTTTCATAGCTGGGATTTTGAGGAAAGTTCCCAGCTAGGACTGAGAACAGTGGTCGATCTGCGTGGGCACCTCCCAAAGCCTGTGGCCCTGTGGCTGTTGTGCCCATGCGACGTCCAGTGGGAAAGGCAAGGGTCTTTCAGCTCAAGCGCGAGGCCGTGAGTCCTGCTGCTTGAACTGCCAGTGATGTTATGGCATGGATTTACTGTATAGGAGATAAAAGCAAAAAATAAGCCAGAGATTTTATATTTTCAAGGGAGATCTGACACCAAATTTAAGATCCCAATTAAACTTGATGATTGTGAAATTGCCTTTCCATCCTACACTGCACTATCGTGCGCTTTTTTTTAGACATTTCCCTCAGGAGGAAGCCGTACAAAACGCACTTCTTTCGGGGGCTGTTTACAGGACAGTGACGGTTGTTCCTTTTTGGTGTCGCACCTGTGAGGGAAAAAGTGCAGCCAGATGCAGCTAGATGCAGCCAGACAGACGAGTCATGGAAATGCAAACGAAATGCTCTTGTCAATTTGAAAAACCATTTTGTATGCCACTTCTGGCAGTGCAAGATGATAAAATCCGGCATTGCTACCCCTTAAATTCTAGCTATCACATTGATGCATTGTGCCCACAGATGCATCGAGTATGACCAATTACTGCATTCAGGTTATTGATGATTTTGACCAAATGTTGGATCAACACACTTGTTGTTCTTGCTTCAACCATCTATATAATTCTATATATTTCTTCTCATTGAAGACATGTGTTCCCAAGGAATTCTTCCACTCTTTGGGTTTTCATCATTTTTCATTCCGTTTCGGTATCCGCGTGGCCTCCCAGGTTCCGTTGACCCCGTTCTGAAGCTGGCAGACTTTGGCTTTGCGCGAGCGTTGCCAGAGCAGGACATGGTGAGGATCTCGGCTGACAACAAGCTCGCGACTAGGTGATCCAGTAAGGAATGCAATCCCCTAACATGGGGAAAACATGGGGAATCATTGTACATGATATATATATATATATATAACTTGCCCAGATGCATGCTTGACAGGCCAGATCTTTGATTTTTTGGCGCTTGCACTGCGATGCATGTACAGATATATACAGTTGACCCAAAGGATCACACCTACATATATACTCATATACTCCTACTCCTACCATACATGGATATACATGGATGGTGGAGGTTACTGGAGCATGTCAGGAACTTTGGGTTCACGAACTGAACCCAGGGGTTTTCGGAGTATTTCTGAGTGTGATATTGAAATTTGATATATTTGATGGAATATGTGCGGACATGTGCCCACACACTGAGCTCGCTCTTGGTTGCAAAACTCTTAAGATAACTTAAGATGTGATGTGATACAATGTCATATTGTAATTGGGATTGGTGGGGGGTGTAGCCAGATTTTCCATGATTTCCCCAGAAACAGTGGACATCTTTGACATCCAAGGCGGCCACAGTGTGTGGCTCTCCACTGTACATGGCCCCAGAAATTTTAAGCCCGGAGCCCAAGGATCTGAGCTCCACCGATGAACATCCATCAATCATCATAAATCCAAAATAATTCAGACATTCATATATAATATATCATATAATATATATATATATACATATATATATACATATATACATATATATATATACATATATATATACATATATATACATATATATATATACATATATATATATACATATATATACATATATATATATACATATATACATATATATATACATATATACATATATATATACATATACATATAATCATATAAATCCCAGCTATTCAACTGATGAAGGCTCTATAAATATCAAAAAAACATATAGTTCACCAGACTCCATGGCTGAGTAAAGTGCCCCAGTTCGCCATCACTGGAGGGCACGAGCCATATGATGCCAAAGCTGATTTGTGGTCCGTGGCCTCCTTAGTGGACCTGGGTTGCTACAGTGGTTTAAGATGGTTTAAGTGGGTGAATCATGACACAACATCAATGGCTATCAATGGCAATTGTTTTCATGTTTTTTTGGATACGTTTGACTTTGATGATGGCTGTTGGGGGATAGGTATCGGCTCCGCATCAATGGTTTGTAGGTTGCTAACTAAGCATTTTCAAGCCTTGTAGCTCAGTTGGCAGAGGATGACCCAATCATAAGCTTTCGGGATGGAGGATATCATCTTGCCAAATGGGGTTGATGGGGCGCCTAACAGTTGGAAATCCATGTGCAGATCTAGGGATCCAAGAAAGAGTGAACATGAGTGAACAAACGATCTTACCGTCTTGAGATGTCTTGAGTCTTGATTGTGATTTAACATGATTTAACTTTCTACTTTTGTTGATCTTTGTTGATCCTTTCTGGGGGATTCCTAGCAATGCATCTTGAAAGTTGACGGTGAGTGCTGTTCCGCTGTTCCAGTAAGGTCGGGGCAATTCTCTACGAGCTCTTGTTGGGGAGGACGACACTGGTTGCTCCATGAGGTACCTTTGTAATTACCCCACTTTTCATAAGCAATGATGGTACATGATGCCAAATGTTATACCAAACGGACCCCTCTATTGCTTGCCAAGAGAAGATTAGCGATCCAATGTGGCAACAGAAACTCCACCCTTTGTATATCATACAGAATCATACAGCATATAGTTGTTTTATCTATGACCATATTGAATTTCCCTGTCAGGATATTGTTGCTGTGGGGATTCTGTCACCATTACGGCACCTGTCGTCAGGACACCCTTCAGCGGATCCAACCCTTTGCAACTTTTAGCCGGAAGCTGAGTGGGCCCCCCAATGGCTTGAGACATTATTTGGAGGACTCCCCCAACTGAAATGGGGGATCTATAGATGCCATAGATGTCAATCATGGTCAATCCAAATGGTATACTGACAATTGGATAATATCTAATGACAATAGATTGTCCATAATGACATCTAATGACTGGATAATGAAAATGGCGGCTGCCCCATGGAAGACTCGGCAGCGAGGCCAATATCGAAACGACTGCCTTGTCCTTCGAGGGCGTGCAGCTTTCAGCCCCCGGTCTTCAGCTCAGGTCATCGAAGAGACGGAAACAATGGTAGGTTGGTGGTGCAATGGGTGCAAGGTTCCTGGATGCAGGTGGTTTACAATAATAGATATGTAATGTATATACTGTGTATATATATATATATGTGTGTGTTATATATATATATAAAGAATATATATATATATAAAGAATAAGAATATATATATTATATGAGTTATGTAAATATACACATATACGCACAAATATCATTCATTGGATGTGCAACGATATGTCAATTATGTCACGGTAGGCGCCTGCTGAGGTCAGCAGTTCTTACGAGCTCTGTTGGTTCACAGCCCAAGCCAGCGCCTTTCGAGCCAGGTCCCAACCAGGGCGGGATTCATTGGAAAAAATGGACAAATTGACTGGAAATCATGGTTTTTACTAGTTGAAATCCATTAAATGTAGAGGTTTCCTGTAAAATGTTCCCCCAAAACAAATCATAGGACCAATGGTAATTCCTTCGCGTCGTTCATGTTAAACATTCACCAGAAACATCCAGAAATGGTTTAGTAGGTGATCTATGCAGATGTGGGGCCATTGAGGAGGGTGTTGACTATTAAGGGGATTGGATTACCAATGGTAGCTCTAAGATGGCCGATTAGATGGCCGATGTAGCGCAGATTAATGGAATATCATGGAACAATCTACATACGTATTCCAACTGTTTGCTCCAATGGTGTGGCTCCAAGACACGGGGAGATTGGAGCTGGGTTTCCAAGCACCCAGCAAGATACACATAGATCGGGCAGCTTGGGGTTGCAGTCTCCCTGGCAGGCCTTCATGCAGCATCCATATGTCAGCCCAAAGCCCAAGATCACAACAAAGAGGGTTCAGAATGGGTAAGACAGCAGCATACTGATTAGTGGCTTCAATTGGTTTCATCTTTATTTCTCACCCGAATGAATCTTACCTGGGTCGCGGCACCAACTGACTAATTGTTTTGGGGAGGCGCACGCACAAAGAATGTGGCAAGGGTGTGGCAGTGGTGTGGCAGTCGCGATGCAGTTAGGACCACCATTGGTCCCTTGGATGAAGGCTGGATTGGAAAAGATCTTGAGTTTGTGGTCTCCCCGTTTTTGGGATTTGATGTTCTGAGGTCTCTCCCCTCCGAGCGTGTCTCTGACGCAGGGCGCTGCCTCCACCTCAGGTGATTGCAGCTGTGGAGGGAGGGCAGAGAGTCGCAGGTTTCCGGCCCTGGTTGCATCCTCAGTTCAGCTGGCCTAAAAATGGATCGTAATGCAAAGTTCCAATACAGCAAAAAGTGCGATTCAGCAAACAAAAGTACCTGGGATTCTGCAACCAAAAGAAGCGGTTTCTGCAACTACCTTCTGCCACTTCCGCCACCAAATAGACATTGTCACATGTTGTCACGCAATGTATGGTTGCAGGTTCTTAAGAATGTGATTTGATGCTATTTACACTGAAGCAATGAGTGGCAAGGGACGTCATAGAAAGCCCCATTGCATTTCGTTTTGAGGCTAGTAAGAAGTCGCATGGGCTGAGGCCCTACATAGCAGTCACTAGGCATAACGCAAGCGGCTATATTGCATAACGGCATAACGCAAGCTTTGCTGGCCATGGTGCTGAACCCCCTGAATAGAGACTTCACCAAAAATTGGATTTCAAATGACTTTCATTATTTCATCACGCTAGCCAGGGTTTTCCAGGTTCATGCTTGACGTGTTAAGATTGTTAAGCCCTATACCACACACCTCTCAACTGCATTTGCAATTCGACTTGCGGTACAGTAGTTCGACAAATTGGAGGTGCATAGTTAGTAATGTTAATGGATTTCCCGCACGCAGAACGGTTTGTGCTTCATTCACTCTGGGTGGACAAGGGAAGCAGTCTGTGCCAAGTCGACTGGGTCGGAGAAATCCTGTGGTTTTTGAATGTTCTTGAGAGCGCTTTGAGATTGATGGAGCTAGTGGCTGATTCGACGTGGTTTTAGCATGTTTTAGCCCAATGCCGAAGTATCACGATCGAGCGATGAGACACACAAACCGTCACTATCAATCCAGACAGGATTCCGAGGCACAGCATGGAAAGTTGCATCTGAACTTTGAAGTCGAAGGAGCAACTAATATGCAAGGCAGCCAGCGCTACAGGGCACAGCTGCGCTTCCGTGCCTTCGCGCGCGTCAGCTCACATGGCACGCGGGCTGCATGCGCGCATATATGTTGGTGGCTTTCTCCGAGCAACACCAATTTTAGTTTGCAACGGTGGTGGCGAGGTGGTAGGCATTGAGACGGTTTGAAAGCTGTTGAAGACTCAATGGAAAACCTGGCTCTCATCATGTTCTTGACATTGGCCAATTATTCATGGAACGGTGATTGCCGGGGAAGCCCGAAGGAGATTCTTTGACATGGCTTTTATGTAAACTCCATTCTTTGCATGATCCACACCGACCACACTTCTTCACCAAGCTTAGACCTTGCCTATGTTCCATGGGCTCAACATAGGTCAACTGCATTAGCTTCTACGCCCAAACACGATCCGAAAATATGTGTCACATTTGTTTGAAACAGTTTGGTTTTTGAAATTTGATCAACTTGGCAATCGTGACGTCAAACGTGATTTGCTTGCACTACCAACCCCAAGAGCCATGCAGTACGACGTGGGTGGGGTCAGCGCCAGACTTATGCATCCATCCACCATGGACATCACAAAATCCCAGCAAAAATGATTCAGCAAATCAAATAGTCACAGATCCAAAGGCCTTTGATTTGCCAACTAAAACCGAGTCTGGATTGAATGGGAATGACGTCGAATGATGTTGAATTGCGTTTGATTGTTTCGGGGTGATGGATGGTGATGGTAAATATTGATTTTCCACGGCGAAGTTCGGATTTTCTACGACATTTCCACGGCATATTTTTGGTATTTCCACGCGTGGACCAAGCTGGGACCACGCACCCCCCGGTTGTGTTTTTGATTTTCCCGTTCTGCCCCAACATGTTTTTATCTTGTCACAGGCCGTTTGGCTTTAGTTTTGAATATTTTTGAATGCAAACCGTGATGACATGACGCCATCAAACAGGGCGTGCACCCACTGCATACCATTGCGGAACTGTCAGAACAAAATATAAGTAAGTGGTAATAGAATTCCACGGGTTTTGCCAAAACATGGCCAGCGAAGGGAAGAAAGGCAATGAACCAACACGGTACACAATCGCAATGTCACGTCTCCATACGTCTCCTATTATTCACGGCCTTTGGATAGCCATAAACCATATACCATATATGCATGTTTTGAATGACTGAATCACTGCCACCTGAGCCCCTGGCAAAATTCGGTCGGCAACGGCAAAAATTCCACCCACTCTTTGTTTTTTCCCATACCTGGATTGCCCGGGTTTGGCTAGCTGCGCTCAAGTTTTTTTGGTCCTCTTGGTTCCCCAAATAGCTACCCATTAATCCAGCCCTGGCCACGTCAAGGTGTCCGAGACCAGCAAAGACCAGCCATCTCCAGTGGCAGATGTACAGGAGAACGAGTCGACCCACCCATGAATCGCAACCAGTCACGTTTCATTGATCATGAAATTGTCATGAAACCATCATAAACTGTTTAATTGTCATCAACTCTGATACTTGTCAGGCAAAGGCGGTAAAGAACGTAATGCTTTCGCGTGCCTTCCCATTGCTGGCCTGTCCTGGAGGATACCGAGGGCAGTTTCATTGTGACGGAGTGGATTGACAAGGTGTGCCATGGAGCCATTGTCATGTAGAATTGAGGTTTGAGCAAAAAGTGGAGGTACACATGAAGCAATTAACCAGTGGTCACCAAAACTGGAATGGTTTCGCTTTGCGAATTATTCTTTGAAAACAGATTTGATGAAATTATGAAATCATATGAAATCCATTGAATGGTCTATTGCTATTTTTTTCGGAGATGCGTCGTTCAATCAACAAACAGTTGTCGCATGGAGTTGGGTTTTTCATCCTGCTGGGTGCACCCAGTTGTTCCACCGAAGTTTTCGATTTGGCCAGGTGCCCAAATCTGGTGCTGCATCTCCATCAGTTGCTTGGAGATCTTGGAGCGCCTGGATGTTGGCCGACAGCGAGACGTAGTGTGGCATCAGGGGTCGGTGCTCAGCAAGATGTCATGCAAACACATGCTGTAATACATCGTGGGTGTCAGGTTCTTTGAAGGAAGTCTGTTTATCATTGTTTATCGGGATTCTAACATACATAATTCATCTGTATCTCGAATGTAGAAACGTATCAGAAATATTGACCGGTTGCTAGCCTGAACAGAAAGGATATCAGCAATCACTAGTCTCAAAGTTTGATATAGCAACTCAGAACAAAAGTGCGTGACAATGTAACAGTGGCCGACCTCCAGTCGCGGGGATGTCATCTACAGTGGGTCGATTGTTCAAATCTGAGGCTTTCTGCTCTCCGGAGGAGAGTCCCAAACTCAGCCCCTCTTGGGGGTTGCAGGGCCGTCTAAAGATGTTTATCACATTTTCTCTGGAATGGATGACAACTCAACAGGAAACGAACACCAAGCTTCACACATGGTGATGTCACATGTGTATAAATATTATATAATATCATACACCAAGACTACAGAGTGAGTAACCGACAATATTAGCGGAAGACTAAAGTAGCAGGAAGCGGACGGAAGTGGACTTGGGATCGTGGCCCAGCCGGGCGGCCTAGGTCCTCGTGATGCTGCCGAGGAAGCACCGGGTACAGGCTTCATCACTGCGAGTAGCAGCGAACTCAGATCTGGAGCGTCAAGATTGATTAAAATATGTTTAAAAACATTTTCTCCATGGGAAAGATGATGAAAGATTCAATGAGGAGATATGGGATGGGAGCAGTAGCTATGATTTAACATCAACTTACCAAGACTTGGGTGGATTAAGATCCCGAAAGCGCTATTCTGATGTGACAATTATTGAACATCAAGGGGATTCTATGGGTTTTGAATGGTTTTGACACATACTGTAGCCATTTGGGATCTGGGTCAACCAGCTGGTGAAATCAAGGGCTTTGACCCTGAGAACTGCCTTTTTATTTGACGAAAAAATCCCCCCCCCCCCCAAGAGATTTCCGGCCCCCGTTTGAGCGGTTCTTTTTTAGCAATTGTCAGTTGGAGGGACGGTTATCGGTGCATGCGATGCCTTCTGCAATCCCACCCGGCAATGGAAAATCATGGAAGATATCCCGTAGAATATTTAGCTACCCTTTGGTAGCTTAACATATCTACTGTAAGGATCACCATCAATTCTTATAGGTAAATCATCATGTTTATCATCTGTAAATGGGCCATTTATGTTCACTTACAAGGAGGTAAATCATCTTGAACCCCTATTAAGCAACCATTAAAAACATAGCTTAACGGTGGGGTGGCCTTATAGTACCCTTTACCGAGGCAGTGCAGGCAGCGGATATCGAGGCGAGACATGATTTTTTTCACGGGATATGATGGGAATACCCATACGGGACATTTGGCGGGTGACGTAAAAAGCACAGGCTTTTAACCTTCAAACAGCTTGAAATCGTAATTTGGGATGACTATGGCCGACTATGGCTATATAAAAGATTATAAAAGTACCATCATTGGCTGGCACATGTCTGGGAAAGAATTGGAAACCCCTGCAGGTGAAACTGGTGATACAGTCAAGAAGGCAGGGGCAGGAAGAGAGCCGTATCTGTGTTGACCATGTTAACCGGAGGCTTTATCACGATGTGTATCCTTTAGAACTTTTAGATCAATCAACATCATAGCCTCCCATGGGAATCGTGCGGCGCTGTCTTTGCGTCCAAGGCTTCGGTCCATTGTAGTTTGATCCTCGTATATCCGATGCCAGCCACATGAACACCCCAAACAAAAGGCTATTTCATGGTTAGGTACGTTAGGTGTTTCAGGCTATACTATATTAATCTACATTATATTGAGCAGCTGTCGTTGGCATGTTTGTTTCCAGAGCGTAGTCTGAGGATGTCTGAGGCGAATGCGACAGGAAATCCGGTTCATGTTGCGATCATTGCTGGTTAAAATGTATTCAAATATATAGACATATAGTAATATTATATTTTTCTGCAAGGTTTCAATGATATCAGCTGTTGTCTCACTTGTTTGGTACTTGTAGCGTTCGTAGCAGCTATTCTTATACCCGGACTTCCACCAATGACGTCCGTTTTTAACGCCAGGTGGAGGAACTCACAGCATCTGAAGTTGGAGTGTCCAAAGACGCCTTGGAGCCCAGACAATGTGAAAATGAAAAGGAAGAACCACTGGAACACCTGGAGATTATAAGAGCATCATCGATATCAGCAATCATGGGGATTTACAACTAGATGATTAGATGATTTGGCGGAAAGTTCTTGACCGCCTTATTTTTTTGGAAAGGAAACCAACCGAATTCGAGGGACACTCACATGCGAGAAACGATTTGTTGCAGATTTGCTGCATGCTTCAACTAATCCCAATGTCGTAGTTTGGTTTCATGGGCAGAACGGTTACACACTGTACTGCTACTATATGAAAGCATCAAAGACATCCCCGTGATTCAGTGATTGTTGGCTGCATTGCTTGCCAATGGCGCTGTTGATACCCAAATGGACAGATGGACATAATTCTTTTTGAGATTGGCAACCCCAATGGAATACAGTCTATATACGAATGAGATACCGGTATACATGGTATACTATCCACCAGCTAGCACTACATCTATATACATCAATGATGTCCCGTTTAGATAAACTTGATAAGCACACAAGTTTCATGCTATAAACATCATATATCAGGGACATTCGGGGACATTTGATCCCAGAACCGTAGACCCCCCCCCTAACCCCCCCAAAAAAAAGTGCTAAAATTCAGTAACAATCAGCAAAAATAATTGAGTGCTAGTGAGCGCTCGTGAGTGGTAAAAACTCTATCCAGTGTTACTGGGTACTCCGCAAAACAAAACCCTGAAAATCTATCCCAAAAAACAATTGAGGGAGCACCACCAATGTGAAAATGAGAAGCATAGCCCAAAAATTGATCCATAGTGCTGATTCGATCGTGAAATGATAAATAAGCTTTGGGGTCATAACCGTTCACCCGAATCCCAAGTGGGCCTTTCCCTAGTTAATTTTAGAGCCCTGGAGTTAGCAATTTTCGTCTCGGTTTCACACCAAAGAAAACTTTTTGGGGAATGGCAAACCAACCGGGAAATTACAACCTGGAGTCGATGATGAGCTTTTGAAATCTTTTAAATTGTTCTTTTTAATATTCATCATAGTTTTTACATGTTTAAAATAATTTTTACCAAGGATTTCATGTTTCTCACCTTAAGCCTGCAAACAAAACAGCAATTCAATGCCATTCCCCATGTTTCTCCAATTATTTTGCTAAGTTTTCATAGATTTTTAACCACAGTCTTTGATGGGGCTTATCGTTCTCACTTCTTTCACAATGACCCTGCAAAAAGTCAGGAAACTTTGAAATTGGTTCCAGATTGAGCACTGCTGAGCAATGCTGAGAAATGCAATTTCCAGCCTTTTTCCATATGTTTTACGTGTTTTTCCCATTGTTTTGTACATGTTTCATTGTTTTTTCCGTAATTGTTGGTGGATTTTGTGTTTTTTTTTGGCTTCGTTCTCACCGCTTGCACCCTGACCTGCAAAAAGTCAGGAAACTTCGAAATTAGTTGCAGATTGAGCACTGCTGAGAAATGCAATTCCCATCCTTTTTCCATTTGTTTTGTCTGTGCTTTCCCATTGTTAAATTGCTTTGTCCAGAGTTCATTGTTTTTCAATTTTTTTGATGGATTTTGTGTTATTTTTTTGGCTTCGTTCTCACCCCTTTCACCCTGACCTGCAAAAAGTCAGGAAACTTCGAAATTAGTTGCAGATTGAGCACTGCTGAGAAATGCAATCCCCAGCCTTTTTCCATTTGTTTTGCTGAAGTTTTCATGGCTTTTGATGGATTTTGGTAGTTTTTTGCCATCATTCTCAAGTTTTTCTTCTTGGATCCGCAAAAAAAAAACAGCATTTCAATAGCATGCCCACGGTTTTTCCCATTGTTTTGTCCAGATATCATTGTTTCTCCTCAATTTTTGATGGATTGTGCGCAATTTTTTTTGCTTTGTTCTCACATTTTTCTCCCCTGACCCTGCAAAAAGTCAAAAAACTTTGAAATTGGTTAGAAATACAATCCCAAGCCTTTTTCCATTTGTTTTGGTGTTTTCCCACATTGTTTTTCCCAATTCTTTGATGGATTTTGCGCTTTTTTTTGGCTTCGTTCTCACCTTTTTCACCTCTGACCCTGCCAAAAGTCAGGAAACCTTGAAATTGGTTGCAGATTGAGCACTGCTGAGTGCTGCTGAGTGCTGCTGAGTGTGCTGCTGAGTGCTGCTTAGTGCTGCTGAGAAATTCAATTCCCAGCTTTTTTCCATTTGTTTTGTGTGTGTTTCCTTGGTTCCCATTGTTTTGTCCAGAGTTCATTGTTTTTCCATTTTTGGGGATGGATTTTGGCTTTTTTTTTCGGCTTTGTTCTCACTTTTTCACCCCTGAATGCAAAAAGTCAGGAAACCTTGAAATTGGTTGCAGATTGAGCACTGCTGAGTGCTGCTGAGTGTGCTGCTGAGTGCTGCTTAGTGCTGCTGAGAAATTCAATTCCCAGCTTTTTTCCATTTGTTTTGTGTGTGTTTCCTTGGTTCCCATTGTTTTGTCCAGAGTTCATTGTTTTTCCATTTTTGGGGATGGATTTTGGCTTTTTTTTTTCGGCTTTGCTCTCACTTTTTTCACCCCTGAATGCAAAAAGTCAGGAAACCTTGAAATTAGTTGCAGATTGAGCACTGCTGAGCACTTTTGAGTGCTGCTGAGAAATCCAATTCCCAGCCTTTTTCCATTTGTTTTGCTGAAGTTTTCATTGTTTTTTGTCACAGTTTTTGATGCTTTGGTAGTTTTTTGCAATCATTCCCTTTGTTTTTCCAGTTGCAAAGATTCAAGAAACCTTGAAATTAGTTGCAGATTGAGCATTGCTGAGCACTGCTGAGAAATGCAATCCCCAGCCTTTTTCCATTTGTCTTGCTGAAGTTTTCATGGCTGTTGCCACAGATTTTGAT